AAATTCTGCATTATTTTTGAAAAATGTATGACATATAATCAATTTGCACCGTAAGATTCCTTAAAATTTTTTCAAAGTTTATACAGGTTTATTGAAATTTAACTGTTTCAATGGAATGGAAATAAATTTAGAATTCCTTAAACCCTCGTCCTCTACTCTACTATCACTTTTTAAGTGACGTAAAAAGTGATAGTAGAGTTGATGCATTTGACTTAAATTAAGTCAACACTATATAGTAAAATTTTTGACTCACAAATTTACACGATAACAAAGACAGGAGTTAATCTGAGGATGAACTCAATGGCGATAAATGAAATGTGTGAGCTCATATTAATAAATAAGCAGATTCTAATTTAAGTAAATTTGGAAGATTGACAGTTCAGCGAAAACCTACAAATTTATTACGCACTTTCTCCTCTTTGAGGGAGGTGCGTAAAGGATGTCGCCTTAATTTGAAGGTTAGGCCAAGAGATTGATAAGTGGGGTGGATCGGAACATAGTAAATATTGTAATTAAAAAATAGTAACCAAAGTGGTATCGAGTTGAAACAATTTGTTAGCAAAAATTTTGCACGAAATTCAAATCTCCTCGGTTGCATACCTAAGATTTTTTTACCGAATATTGTCCCAGGAAGTCAAGGGCACCACATTACTCGAAAAATTCGTGACGTACTTTACGTCCTACCTCCTTCGAGAAGTATGTCATTCATTAAAATTTCATCGCGTCAAGAATCTCTGGCTTTAAACTTTCAACTAAATCCGACTTGATCTTGGCAACAAGAGAGCGAAACCGCAAGTCTAATCTTCCCTCGCACACCTCAAATGGCGCATTTGTGTAATTAATTATAATTGTGCCTCTCCATCCCGCTCTTGACTTGGGCATTATTTAATTAGATAACAATTAGTCGCTTCATTAAGTAAATATCTCATTAAGATTGACGTCTTCTCGGGTCATGGGGCCCGTTGAGTGGGAGTTATTCTAAACTTTTGGTTTTTGCTGGCGTCTAGATTTTGACTTCGTTAAAAATGCAACGGGTCGTGTTGTTTTGTTTTGGTAGCGTCAAATTACCAAAATTCTGTCCAGACGGGGCCAGATGTGAAGAAAAGGAGGGATCGGTGAGATACCGGTTTTCTGGTAAATAAGACGGACCGACAAAAAGATACCAAGAAAGAAAGGTTGAGATTGAGATGGTGGAAAAAGGAAAGACAAAAATTTCTGATTTTTTGAGAATTTGTAAGGCTTACAAAATTGTGGTTTTACTTAATTTTGCAACCTTTCGAATAAAATATTTTAAAATGCAAAAACTTAGAATGTATTTATGCCATTTTTAATACAGGTTTGTCGTGTGCAACTTCGTAAAATTATGCATGTAAAAAATTTGCCTGATTTTCCACTATAATTTTGTAAACTTTTGAAAATATTGATAGAGTTATAAACATTTACGCGAATTTCTGCAATAATTATGTCCTCTATTATCATGTGAATTATTCATGCCTCTTAAACAAATGAGACACAATGATGTTGCATAAAATATTTGTTATTGTCATCATAATAATAATTATTTATCATCCTACCCAACAAAACAGGAGTCAAACGGATCATTTGCCGTTTGTATGGTCGATGCCCCTCTCCTTTTAATTGGAGGACAAAGCCATAAACTGGAAAACAGAATGGCAGATGCTCTTTGAAAACCAAACTAGTCCTCATTTTGCTTTTCGAATGAATACAGAGAAGCCAAACCTCATGTGCGTTCCTGGGCGGATTTTGGATGCATGTGGTCATGTCATAAGGACAGATTTGTGTCGATGAGCAAGCATTTTATGTCCGAAAGAGACGGGGAACAAAGGGAACAAGTAATACGTGTAATGTCAGACGATAACAGGAGCTTGTTGACTCTCGGGTTATATTGACGCTCCAAAATTAATGATGCTTATTGTCAAGGGTTTTAGTGGAGAGGACGATTTTATAGGCGAAATTAAACTGGGGTAGTAAAAATGGGGGCTGCGGTAACAAATTGTTGTTGGTGACAAAAGACATGGGTAAAATATGTAGTTAATTGGTAGATTTAGTTTAAAAGTAGTAAAATATTTACCAATTGTAGAATTTTAAATTGGTAATAAAATGTATAACACATTGGTAAAAAAAATTTTCATTACCACGTCATAAAGTCCATAATTGAAATTTTCATTGGCAGCATAGTAATTAGAAATATAAGATCATTTCTTCGTCAAAAATCTTGATTTAAAAAAAGTTTGTGATTTAAAATTCTACCAAACTTTTCGCCCCACGTGGTCTCACTGTTCGCGAGAATAATCTATTTAAAAATTTGTAGTACTTGACTTTTGAAGTTGAATACAATTTTAATGATCTTTCTATTAAGACAATTTCTGTAAGTATGTCATTGTACGTGAGGATATGAATGCTTGCTAAAATTTCTGAGAAGCAGGGTTCCTTCCTACACAGCATTTTTTGTTAAATTCGTGTTGAAGAATTCATCACGGCATAACTTCCGAACTAAATATCATGTAAAATGTGATTTATTTCAGGATATATAAACTTTTCATTCACAGATTTCTTTAAAATGGTAAATTAGATAGATTTTTCGCTCTAGCCAAGCACATTTCTCTTCATCGCAAATGTATTTCGATGTTACATACGTTCTAGATTAATGAATATGTTTCCATATTTAACGGAAAGAGACTCGATGTGAAATGAAATTTTGTGTAAAACATACGGAGTGTTAAGAAGAACCCTGTTTCGAGGCAGAGTCCACGTTAGAGACGCCTCGTTCTCGTCGTTGTTCCATCTGTGATCCTTTCGCAGATGTGGAACGATTTTTACTTAACTGAAATCCTAATGGAGTTCTAAAAGACTTTTGAAGATAAAACAGCCGTCACTTTAAAGTCTCCTCCTGGAAATGGAACGGATCTCTCACTCCCCAGTCCCAAAGCCCAGTTTTGTTCTCCTCTTTTTTAGTTGAGGATGTAATCTCATCGCCTTTTTCTACGCACTTCCTACTCCGTAAAGTGTGTGTCGTAGTGTAGAACGAACTATCGAGCTCCTCAGAAACACATAATATGAGAAGATTTTATTTAAGAGGGTTGTAAATACGTTATTAGGGTTGCTTTATGTGAAGTGTGCATTGTTGGGTTAAATAAGGTTTCTTGAGAAAATTGGGGTTTGAAATTTTTTTTGGAAATTCATGAAATTAAAATTTTTCGTGAATGGAAGATGAATAATGATAAAAATTTGCAGTAATAAATATGTTGTTATACGCAGGATTTTTCATTTTTAGTTTTGTCAGATTTGTACACCAGTTAATAAATTAAGCTAAAAAACAGAACCTTAATTATATTATAGATGAAGAGAAAGACTGAAATAAGATTTTTTAAATAAGGTTTTACACAATTTTGTGGTATTAAGACACCAGTTACCAAATTACCAAATTTCGGTAACTTATTGCTCAGAGAGATAAGACTTGCGCAAAACATAATGATTTTTTTGAAATGCATTTCACATTGTTTTGTGGCACCCTGTCATCCTAATTTTTAAGTATTTAATACATACGTACATATTATTCCCTTGTATAGCTTTGGTGCATACAGTCGAGTTCATTATTACCACCATGTCTGATACTTATCACCATTAGTTAAAGTATTGAGAGAGTGGTGGAGATGCTGCCTGGTTATCTTTGGAGCTCGTTTAATACGCCATCCATCCCTCCATCCGTAATCCGTATCGCTTTCCATGCAGTCAAACAAGCTAAATTCTTTACCATCGTTTTAACGCGCTTCCGGCCATCGTTATACCACTGTCCATTCGAAGGACTTGTATATGCTGGAAAATTCTCAAAATTCGTTTGACGAAACGAATGAAATATGACTAATTAAATTTTGAAATGTAACAAAACAGGTTTTCTAAATAAATATTTTGAGCAATTTTAAAATGTGTAAAATATTCATGCCGTTTTGAATATTTTCAAATATGGGACAAATTAAAAAGCAAATTTAGATGTGGTACTGACGAATTCAAAAATTTGTTTTTTCTTCACAATTGATTGCGTATAAGTAAATAACTTTATGTAGAAGTAGAAGATTTTTATAAAAATTCACTTCAGTGTAACCTTATACAAATTTACAAAATTTCAGTAAAAATTTGCAATTTTTGTATAATTGTTTATACTATAAATTATGGTCCAGATATACGCTTACAACTATCAGAATGAATTGTTTCACTGATTTTTTTTCGAATTTTTATGCAATAAAACGGACTTAGGAGTACAGTTAATTGAGAGAAACTGAGCTAAAAATCGGTCAAATAACATTATTTCTGTACTCCCCCGCAGCCCGATTATATTTTCATAGGGGGCTGTCAAAATCCAGTTTTAACTAGAAAGTGGGTGTACACATGTGGCCGCGTGGGTGGAGATGAATGAAGTGAAATCCTCTCGTAAAAAATGCAGCTGGACTGATGAAAGGTTTTCTCACTTCAATTGTCAATCTCCATCATTAATTATCTCTTCAGGATTAGATTATTCCGAGTGCCAATGATTACTACCGTCAAGAGGTGGGTGTGAATTTAGAATAGCGCTGCGCACCTTGTGAAACGAATGCAGATGTCTTTTTTTTTACAAAATATCAGCCTTCATACATAGCCGTTTCAAATTAAAATACTTATATCTACACTCTAAAAAAAATCAGGTAACAGTCATTACTCAGCGGTGACTATATATGAATCCACCGCCATGGTAATAAATTTGTTCCCGACTGATAGTAAATTTATTACCAAGCTTTTTACCCCCTCGTTGTACTTTTACCAGCACTGTAGCAAATTTAATACCACTTGGTAATAACTTATTACCATGGCGGTAGAGTCAAATATAGTTACCGTCTGGTAATAGCTTTGTTACCGGATTTTTTAGGGTTCATCTATAACGACATGAGGACAATTGGACAACTGTCAACCTGCACATAAAATTAGTAATTATTTAGCAACCAAAATAAAACTATTAGCGGCTTTGTCGCAGCACACGAATTTATTTCATATTTTTACAGAAGGTTACATGCTAAAGTTGAGTTTGATTTTTCAGGACAATTTATGCATTAAGGGCTTCAAACAAAGGGTTTTGTTTCGATTCTTCAAAAGGCGCATCCCGATATGCCAACCATTTCAAGGCATCTTTGAAAAACGTATTTTGTATTTGTCCTCCAAAAGTTTCACTAAAAGGCAATAATATCAGTATAATATTATTAAAATTATTAATATTATTCACTAAATATTTACCTAAGGTCAATATTCCCATTGTAGTCGATATCATTATGCCCCATGTTGCAGTATAGCATGCGGTAGTTTCGATTTTGCCAGACAACCGGGTAATAACCCTCGTACCAAGTTTCTCCAGCGTTTGTTCCCAGGGGAAAACTGGACGGGTCAATGGAGAGCAGGATTCGGATGTTAATGTTGTTTCTAAAAATTGTAATAAAAATATTAATTATATTCGATTCTGCTTACATTTCGAAGGGGTGAAATGTATCACTATGATTTTGTTCAAATTTTGCAATTAGAAAGTTCAAGTCTATACAACCAAAGGAACATTGTGCTGAGGTCATAATTTATCTATAATTTTGAGGTCAATGTTGAAAAAATATACGATTTTTACTTAGCAAACTCGAGTTTACTTCCTTATGAAAGATCGTAAATTTCTTTAACATTGACCTCAAATTTTCGGATAAATTCTGGCCATCGCACAAACTACCTCAAAAAACTTTGTTTATATTGACTTGAATTTCATAATTCCACAATTTCAAATAAAAAATCGGAGTGTTGCACTTCACACTATCGCATTTTTAGTCCATAAACTATAAAAACTCACCTTATGTCATTCGCAAAGGCGTACCACTCATTATGCTGCGAGCTCCACGTGGCTGGAAGATTTCTCGTGGCTGGGTGCGTCCTATCCTCCGTTCGCAACGTGGCTGGCGTCGGTTTCCACGTGTTCTTCTGAAAGTTTCCGGTGCCAAGGAAGGTGTTATGGTACCACGCCCATTCGTTTGCATTGGTGGTGAAAGCAGCCACGTGGAAACTCATAAATCCACCTCCTCGCTGCGTAAATCGCTCTACGGCAGATTTGTGACTGGCATCGGTAGGTTTATCGTCAAGAAATAGGATGACATCTTTATCCGCTAAATAGTTATCGTTTATCCTGCTCCAGTCTGTCGTTGCCTCGTAAGTAAATCCTAGTTCGGCTTGGATTGTTGGGAAGTAGCGGTTAGCTTCGTTGGCAAAACTTGGAACGAAATGCATAATAAGATATCCGCTTTTTGTTAATTATTACGGAGATTGCGAATTAAGGTTGTTTGCACTAAATTCCTCCATAAACAGTAACAATGGAGGTATACATGCGTAGACTCCCCGATTTTTCCAAAATTAATGCCAATCAACCACAAATTTAATTAATATTAAATTTACAAAAGGTATGATCTGCTAAAGAACAGGTTTGGCATAGACGCATATTTGCATCCGAAGAGAAGAAAACGCGCAGTAAACTTGGACAAAGTAAAATTTGTCAACTTTGGGCCCGTTTCTCCTCTTTTGAAAGCAAATATCTCCGCCAAATCTGAGCATGGGCCGATAATGTATTTTACAAATGTTATATTAATTAAATTTGTGATAAATCGACACTAATTTATCCAAAATCTATCAAATGCATAAGCTAGGTGACCTTCCTAAGTAGATTTCACCTTTACGCTAATGATAAATTTAGCATTTGGTTAAAAATTGAGTATAAAATCCATAATTCGCAATATCCTCTAATTACGAAGATTTTTCTCTTATTTACATACCTAATGTGCGCAACATCCCACGTCCCACGCCAAAATGCCACAACCTTAAACGGATTTTGTGACCCTCCAATGATACCAATGGTTGTATCCCCCTTGTCAATCACTGGAGAAAGGGCACCCTTCAACCAACACGTCCCTCCTTGATAGTCATTCCAACTGTACGCCACACAACCCGAGGTAGACGAGCAAAGTCCGCAACAAGACGTTTCAGCAGTCCCGTTAATGGAACGCAGATTCGGTGCGGTGATGTCTTTCCCGACTTGACGACTGCACGTTTGTGCCTCTGCGGGACTAATATTAAGCACGGATAGGCAGACAAGGCCGCAAATCAGGGCGAAAATTCGGGTAAAAGCCATGTTTTTTTCGGAAAATGAACAACTTTCACTAATTCTCAAGTTGAAATGACGAATGATTCAAATTATCTGGTGTATTTATACATGAACATAATCAGGTTTTTGGTGTACTGAACATTTGCACTCGGCACACTCCCCCGAGATAAACAAATTTAGGAGTGTGAAATTCTGGTCAATAACAAATCAAATATTATGCATTGAGATTGATTAAGTTGGATTGACATGTCAGATTTTAAGGGTTGACCGATGGGAAGGGCATGTACGGATCACGGGACAAAATGAGTTAGTTTAGTACAAATGACATCATAATGCAGCTTACAGCATTAGCAGCTTCAGTGTTTCACTCACTTGTGATGTAAGAGTACATGATTGTCAAATGATTGTCATATTATTTAAATATTTAGTGACGCCTCTAGCAGAGAACTCAATCAATGCTTGACATTTGAGTTGTTTTATTAACGATAAAAATTATTCTGCAGATTAAAATCCCATTGTATTTTATTCTGGATAAAGTGTGCAATTAATTGTGCATTGTAATTCAATCGTATCTTGTACATATTTAGATACTTATGTGTAGCCTTAACATTGCCGTGACACATCAATGATTTTAATTTCACGAGAATTTTTATTGGCATTCTTTAAAATCAAAATGTTACAAATAAGTAAATAGGAATTTGTACACAATTTTGGTAAAAATGTGAAGTCAGATACACACTGCGTGTTGGTATAGATTTGGGAATAACTTCTTTCCGGATTGGTAATACTTTGTTTCCGAGTGGTAAATTTTCCTTATCACACCGGTATAATTCATTACTATCCGATAACGATAATGCCCGTTATTACCGTGCCGGTGAAGTCATACTTTCCCGTCGGCAATGATTCAATACCATTTTGCTAAAAGTGCACTATTTGTACCACATAATTTGCATGAATAAATATATTTTCAGTTTACAATTGAAATTATTTGAGCTGATTTATCTGAGCGATATATACATATATACATATATATATAACCATTTCATGGAACAATTGCATATGACAATTAAGTCATCTATTTAATTGATTCGTTAAAAAATATAACATGACGAGATATGTAAATTGAAACCACAGAACCATTTTGCAGAGTACAATGGTTGTATTAAAGATCGTCCTTTAACCACTGCTCGTTCTCGCTCGTTAACCCTGCCTAATCATGTTTTGATGACGACTTGTATTGTAATTTGCTTCAGTAACATTCAGTGTCAGTATGCACCGCATATATTAATACGGACGAATGTTGCATATATATATGTCTGTATTTACATACGCACATGTACATTAAAAAAATATTTATTTATACTTTCAGAAAGTTAAAATATGTCACACAAAGAAGATTTTTTTAAAGATTTTTTAAATTTTGAATTTTTTAAAAAGATTTTTTAAAGTGAAGGACACGAAGCCCGTTCCCGATTGACTTTCATTGCCATTTCGATAATATTGTTTCCGAGAAAAAAGTCAGTGGACACGATCATGCTCCGAGCATACCAAGTAGGTCGCATCCACCAATACGTTAATGGAAGATTTATCCTTTGTGCAAATCCTCTCAATCCGACGAGCGGTTGAAGAAGAACATCTTCCGCGGTTGTGGTCATTTCAGCCATTGCGGACCACCAAACGCCAGCGCATCCGTAGCGTGGGAGCGCCTCTTGTTCGAAATATTGCTCGAGAGGATCAACAGTGTTCTTGTTTCCCCATGCCTGTAGCGTAGCAGACGGGTTTTGTGTTATCATAATTTAGAATTTACACAGTTCAGAGGTGGGCAAAATAATTTTGCTAAAATACAGTATTTTGAACTATGTTCTTCCCCAGGTTTGGATTTCCAGGACTGTTACACCCACAATAAGACGATAATTTATAGGGAGAATAAAATAGTTTTACGAAAATTAAGGTTCATGTGAAGAAATTAACTTTATATCGTTGTCAAGATACTTAATTTTTTTAAATCGTGAAGACATTGTATTTTAACAGTGATGAAAAGTTAATTTCTTACTTAAGCTTAGCTCAGTTGAGTCCTGACTTCCTGAGTCTTTCACCTTTGTGCGTACTAAGCTCCGGTAATTTGGGTTAATTTAGTAACTGGTGTCCAAATGCGCCAAAATTATAGTACTAAAAAAATCTTTTCTACTTTTCGCAGCATGATACCTCGTACTCACCTGTGTGAGTAATAAGATTCCGTACTTCGGCTTAATTTCTTAACTGGTGTCCAAATCTAGCAAAAGTAAAAATGACAAATTCTGCGTATAACATATTTATTATTGCAAATTCTGATCATCGTTTATCTTAAGTTCATGAAAATTTTCAGTTCGTGGACCTCCAAGCATTTTCAAACCCTGAATTTCTCATACAATCCCTTATTTAACCAAACAAAGCACATTTAACATAAAGCAGCCCTAACTAAGGATGCACAACTCTCTTAAATAAAATCTTCTCATTTTATGTGCTTCTGAGGAGCCTAATAGTTAGTCAAACACTACAACACACACTTTAAGTTGTAGGAAGTGCGTAGAAAAAAGGCGATGAGATTACATACCCAACTAAAAATACACGTATTTACGAACAATTTCTGTATTCTCAATACATGAAGATTTTCGTTTTTTTGTGGGTGTAACAGCCCCGGAAATCCAAACCGGGGAAGAACAGAGCTCAAAATACTATATTTTGACCAAGTATTTTGCCCACCCCTGCTACACATTCATATTTACATATGCCCTCACAGACCAAAAAAATCGTACATACATGTATCAAATACGGCCACAAGAAAGGATACTGTTCAGACACCGAATCGACTTGATATGTCAATATGACGGTACGATTTGTCGCCCAAATTTGATTTGGCGTGGGGTCTCCGGTGGGAACGGCATTCTGCAAAACGAGTAAATCGCCAACTTGCTCCACAACATAGACAAGAAGTGCGTCGTGTATCGTCAAGTTATCAAATCCGACTGGAAAGCCGTGAAAATCCATGAAAATAATTTCTCCCGTCTCCTCGACAAATCGGCGGACTGCGGTAAATAGGGTTTCTAACGGCTGGAATCGGACATCGCCATGATTTATCCACCATTTTTCCGTAGTTGCAGGATAGTGCGAGACACGAATGTCGACATAGCGTATACCATGGACAAATTGACGGTATAGGAGTTCCTCTTGTCTGATTTTGTAATATGCATGAATTATAAATGACCCGTAACGCATGTTTTCATACAGATTAGGACATTCAAAATCGGAGGATTTTGAAAAACCGGTTTTGGATTTTTTCGGTTTCTGATTTTAAACCGGTTTTATCATAACTTTAAAAATTTGGTAAATGTAATCTGGTAAAATTTAACGTGTAACAAATTTTGCCAATTATGGGAAAAATATTAACTAAGCACTTAATTCTTAATGAATAAAGAAATACTAAATGCTTACTTAGAAATGCTAAAATACTATGTAAAATACTATGCTAAAATACTATGCTAAAATACTATGCTAAAATGCTAAAATAATGCTAATACTTAGAAATGCTAAATAGTACCTCCTAAACAATTTTTGTTATAAAAATCCAAAACCAGTTTTAGAGTATGATAAGAAAACGATTTTTAGGTAAACTTTAAAACCGGTTTTAAAAAATCGGACAAACCGATTTATGATGTCCTAATATGAGATGTTAAGTATATCCTTACGTGACACTGTATCTTGTAAACGGATTCTCTGCCGGTATCCCATCATAAACTCGTATAGCACCTGCATCATGCGTTCCTGGGATCATCAATTGTGAAATTCTCCTCCCTCCAATAAATTCCCTCAGATTTTTCATCCAACGCGGATACTTTCTGAAACAATTGCTGACCAGGATATTTGTCCCTCTATGATACGCTATCCAGTATCCGAGACAATTATCTGTCCCCACTTCATCATCCGACGTAATCGGGGGATGCCCAAATCGAATATTCGTCTTATGATAGCCTTTCTCCCCAGAGGTAGAATTTACCAAAATGGAAGCTCGCGGTACCGCGGACGCGTTCAAGGTCGGATTTTCGTCGTATAAACCGACCCAATCTCCATCTTGCGGTGTGTCAAATCCATACCAATTAAGTTCAAATTGAGTATCTGCCCACTCACCGTTCCCGTTATCCAATCCGGCAACGGAGCTAAGCGTTAGAAAAACGTGGGGTTGGTCAAATATTCCGGCTTGATGAACCAAACTGGCTGCCGAAGTTGACCCCACAATAAAAAATATGGAAATTCCCACTAAAATAGTAAATCGTACCATTTTTTACAAAAATATAGAAGTTGAGCAATGACTTTAGGCTACAAGGCTACTGGGTTTCCCGTCAGTTGAATGTTTGCAATGTCAAGTTCAAGTGCATGGTCATATTCATGTCGCGTATGTACATAGTGTGAATATCGTATTGTACCAATATATGTATTTATTAACTACTACATACGTATTTTGAAAGCTAGATGCATACGTATGATAAATGGATTGATTATTAGTGTCATAAGTTGTTAATGATAAAATCGATTATAATAATTTCTATGGACAGTTGCAACATAATTGTAAACATGTTGAATAAGCATAGTTATATAAATGTATGTGCGATTATCTATGCTTATATAGCTCGTGTTGAAGTGCGATAATGTTTTGTAGTTCAAGAGCAGCTTTGATATATGTAGCAAGTCCTGCTATTACATAGTTATTTTTGTACCTATTTATATACAGAGTCACGACAACAAAGTATTGATCGTGACATTACTTTGCATACTTAAGACTGATGTAGAATCAATTTATGTATAAGTTAATCCAAATTCAGTAAATCTAAAATATTTCATTCAAATTTTCATCTATTATATGTTTACCAAGGGAGGATTCTGGCCAATCTGGATTCTATACATATATGTATAATTAATATAATACCTATACCTAAATTCCTGTAAAATTTGCAGTGAAAGTTAGAGAAAACAAATGAGATTGATGAATTAGTCAGATTTTCTTCAGTATGCACAAGTAATCGGATTCCTAAAAATAATCCAAGATGTGATTCTGAGCACGAATCAATCTCAACAACGGGAATTTACCTAACGTTAAGCTAATGGCAATGTGTACACTTTTGGAGTTATGGAGGCAGTTAAAAAGTGAGTAGGATGGCAGTTGGCCAACCAAAAGGTGATTACTTTGTGTGTTTTTTCTGCTACCACACGACCAACTTTTTTGAAGGATGAGAGGAGGAAATTACACTTGCAAAAGTTATTCCTTCCTCTCATTTTCTCATTTAAAAAAAGTCGGCTCTTCACGGCGAGCAATGTTCAGACACAAATGAGAAGATAATGACATCCTTTCTTTAGAGCAAGATTTTTTGGTAAACTCGGTAGCAATTGGGTAAAAATAAAAAAAAGTTTACCGACCATGGTAATAATTGGTGACAAACCAACGTCAAATTTGCTATAAATCATTACAGCTAAATAGTGCGAACAACCTTTATGAATTGAATTTGTCAACTTAACATGCCAAATTTTTGAAGTGTACAACATTTGAACAATTAATTTTCGCTGTAAATCACGATTGTATTCCTGGAAATATTTGTCGACATTATTCCAAGCTATTTACTAACGAATCCTAACGTCGCTAACCCATTGATCTTGAAACCTATTTTAGTTACTAGTTTATAATTAATTTTTCTACTGGTGTGCAAACCTGACAAAATATATAAAGTTGAAAAATGCTATCTGTGTCATATGAATTTTTAGTAAACTTAATCAATTTTGTTATAAGAAAAGTGTATAAATTCCAAACATTGATCTTACCTTAGATCACCCCACAAATGAAGACTAACTAATTTTGTCAATGAGAATAATGTTTCTACGAGGGCTCGTATTTTATGAATGTACTGAACATTTTGATAGGATGAATATCTAAAGTTTTATGAAAATAAATATGTATATAATTTGGATTTTATATACTTTAGCTGGTCGCGATTTATGTATTTCTCCGAAATTTCGACGAAATACAAAATATTCTACATATTTAAGTGCAGTATGAGAGAATTAGTTTCGATTTCAAAGAAAGGGGAAGATTGGTTCTGACCGCAGTCATGCAGGAGGAGAAAGTGGAGAAAGCAGTTTGTTTGTAGTATTGGCACTTTTTTAGAATCGAAATTCTAATTCTGAAAGGAGAGAATGATTTTGTGTATTTATATTTGGGTGACGAAATCCGTTACAATATTATGAGGGGGGATTTAACTAAAAATTCAACTCCACTTCCCACTTGTCGTTTTCTCTTCTACCCACCTACCCATCCACCCACATTCTCTCTTCTTACTTTCTTCTCACCCACCTTCTCTCTTCTTACTTTCTTTTCACCCACCTTCTTTCTTCTTACTTTCTTCTCACCCACCCAACCTCTCTACCTTCTCTACATTTATTTTATTATTTCCTCCTTACCTCATACTCCCTCTTACGGATCACATTATGTACAAAGACGTGATTTCAGGCAACAATATTAAATGCTTACAAAAAATACTTATGTATTTCGAAATACATGTTAATTTAGAGTGAACATGAATAATATTATTCATAATTTTAAAGAAGAAGCCAGACGGTGCTTGCTTGACTGTATTGGAAATCTGCAATCCCAAAGTTTTGGCGATGTTGTTGTTACACGCATTGAGTCGTTCATCTTGGCCGGCTCACAGCTTTTGGGACAAGATTCGCAGTTAGATAATGCAATTAGAATTGCAGAGCTTGCGTTATCAGAATTGGTTCCTGACGACATCATACAGAAATCACGGCAGGGTAGAGGACGACCAGCAATTTTAATTGATTTACACACCGTCGAGCATTTGCTGAGTATGAACTTCAGGGGGAGGGAAATTGCAAGAATGATGTCAATCTCGAGCAGCACACTCTTCAACAAATTGAGAAGTGTTAATTACTCTGTATGCCTTACAAAATGTACTAATATACGATTCATTATAACCATTATCCATTGTTATCTAGATAAGAAGTTCGTACTCTACAATCTCTCGAGAGAACTTGAGTACAACGGTACTTTCCATTCTAATGGAAGTACCGAATACAGGTTATAAACGGATGCGAGGCTTCCTACTTCAAAGAGGAATCAAAGTACCCGAAAATAGAGTTCGAGAAATAATGAGAGTTGTTGATCCAAGCGGTGTTTATCAAAGAACTTCTGCAAACAGAGCAATTGTACGACGAGTGTATTTCGTTCAATATAGTAATGACTTGTGGCATATCGATACCAACATGAAGCTTGTCAGGTATTGTAATATCATGTTATATAGTAAAAAAAGTAGGGTCATTCGAATGAGATGTTAATTGTTTGTATTCTGCGGACAGGTGGAAAATTGTGATACGTGGTGGAATTGACGGAAGGAGTCGCGTTTGTACTTATCTAGTAGCAGTAGGCAACAATAGCTCCGAATCAAACTTTCTTGCATTTCGAAGTGCAGTGCAACGGTACGGAATTCCAAACAAATGCCGGAGTGACAAAGGACGTGAAAATATTTTGGTGGCGAGATTCATGCTTGAAGCTCGGGGAGTAGGACGTGGAAGCCATATATGTGGGCGTTCCGTTCATAATCAAAGGTATGCATAATTTAATGCAAATCGATTTGCAAGTGTCTAATCAATTTTAATTTCTAGAATCGAACGTTTTTGGCGTGATGTGTTTTACGGGTGCCTATGCTTTTACAAGAGGTTATTTGTGAAGCTAGAAAACGACGGCTATTTATGTGCTGATAACCCGAGAGACTTATTTGCCCTACATTACCTGATGCTCCCACGCTTAAATCAGCATTTGCAGCTGTTCATGGAGGGTTGGAATAATCACCCACTTTCCACTGAGAGTAACAAATCTCCTCTTCAAGTGATGATATCAAGCTTACCTCCTCCATACTACGACCTTCATTACAATGAGGTATGATTGACAACGTTGTGCATATTAATTTATCTACAAATTATGTCTTGATTAATTAATTAAATTTGTGTCTGCAGGTTACTCATGCTTTGGATGCTACTGTGAATGATGAAAACGACTTATCATTATTTACTGAACCAACAGAAATGACTGCGCCGAGTAGCATTAATTTTCATCCTTCACCAGAGCAGGAGATTCAGTTGCAACAGATCGACCCCCTTCAATTATGCAGTGACTATGCATATAGCTTGTATAGACAAATTAGATTAATTTTATCCTAACTCTGTCCATCGATGGACAACAAATTATAATGTGGAGTAAGGAATAATAATAATAATATGCGAGTAATAATTTTTAAACTTTGAAGCTGAATAAATTTATTTAGCAATAATAACTCGAGTTATTGAACATGTTTAAAGGAACAAAAAAAAATTTAAGTTGTCTTCTTTCATGACCTAATTTTTAAGCCCGTCCAAACCCACCGAAGCGAATTGCCAATTTAAAATTCTCCAAAATCTGAGTGGCGTTCATATCAGCAGGAATTTCTACTTTAAGACTGCACGTAGAAATATGGAAGTCGTAGACACCAATATAGATTGCAATGGACGATGCAGGTAAAAGGGGGGATGACGTAAGACATCGCACGAAACTCCGGCGCTCCTCATCATCTATAGGAAATTAATGTGCTTAGTAATAATTTATCAGTCTGTCATCGCCACATTTTAAATTATATATGGTGATGATGATCTTACCGATAAAACCATTTACAAAACCTTTGACTACATTTGTAACTCGAGTTACATTGCTTTCCTGGCCAATGAATTCCAATTTTCTCAAAATAGCTACACCAGAATAGCTGAGTAGGGAACTATTAGGGAAATCTGCCTCCCAAAGGTACGGTCGGAATTTTAGGAACTTGACAATTCCAGTTTCAGCAAGTCCTCGCTTAATGTCATCCAACTGCGATTTTCTAGAATCGATAACGATGTTGTAGAGTAAGACTTCCTTTAGTAATAGTTTATTCTCATAAGTGACCGGGCGGTTGAATGATATGCTTGTGGCGTAAGTTTTCAAGTCAGCCATCTCTCCTGTCGTTAAATTACTGACGTTTCCAATGATTTTCCAGTTTCTGATCTAATAAGGTATGATGAAATTCGAATTTCAGTTAAAGTAAATAAATTGCTAAGTAAAAATGTCTAACCAGAGAGACAATAAAGTCAGACGTATCTTCTGTCACTTTACCCCACAGGTCGTTCTTCTGAGCATGAGTAACGATAAACTGAAACCCACATTCGTCAGCAAACTGTTGAATTAACTGCCGCTCTGCATCCGACAAGTTGTCAGTTGGCGTGAGCGACCATTTGTCAATCTGAAATGACATTATTTTGTAGGATGTAGTTCGAATTACAAGTACTTCATATTATTATAACTAATGTATACGCACCAGATTAATTAAACCCCTCACTACATCACAAGGAACATCTTTGATATCCATTGAAACCAAATCTTGTGAGTCAATATCCTGTAAGATGTATTCAACAGCTGCCCGGCTTAGTCCATAACATCCAACGCCAATATGCATATAAGCATGAGCGAAGAGTTTTCCGACTGCTCGATACACACCACAGCGAAGTAAAACAGGATCACTGCACGGAATCTTATGATCAACACAACCTTCGAAAATTACACCCCCATTAAAAGGTTCATTGAGTACTCCACTTAAAGCCAGGTTAAAGAATTCCTTAGTAAGGCCACCCAACTCAATTCCTGGAATGTAAATGCAACCTGTAATTCGAATTACGCTTCTTTTTTATCTGAGGAAATGATTAATCCTCACCTGACTCGCCGACAAAAAAACTTTGGGTTTTTTAAATATATCCAATGATGTATCTTTCATGTACATTCATAGGACTTGCTCCACAAAATTGTCTCGAACGACAGTAATTGGCTGAAGACCAGGATTTGCAGCATAAAGACTATTTTGAAAGTCATCAAAGGTTTGAAAACTTGTGTCATCCTCTGTTGAACTATAATTTTTAAGTTGTATAAACGTCTTAGAAGAATGACTTTGGTTGCTTTTACCTTGGTGCAAGTCGACAAGCATTCCGAGATATCTCATCCTCATCGGATGACACCACCATGTCACTCATTCCCTCATTTTGATTGTTATTACCAATTTGCTGATCTCCATCTTCTGTACCTGCTGCAGATCGATCTGCATTTGAATGAGATGAAGTCTCATCGGGTGATAGCTGTCCGGTGGAAAAATTATCATCCACATGCGACTTATTATAAAAAAACAAATTATTTTACTAAATGATCTACTGAGAATAACAGTGTTGCAAGTATTTGTGATTACCAGCAAGTCTGTGTACGGTCGGATGTAAACAATCTTGCCCATCCACCCTAGTGCAGATTTGATAAAGGTAATCGATGGAACTGCATTGTTGTCGTCAATTCGTTTTAAGGGCCTGCTAGGTCCTCCGTCTTCGCCCTTCAGCAGTTCGAACTGCTTACCATTCAATTTTGGATAGGCATTCAACAAAACAGCTTTAAACTCATCAATATTCCACGCAGAGTCTGAATGTATAATGAACAATTTAGTTCGGACACTTAATTTAATTATTACCTACAATTAAGTACTTATTGATATAGTCTTGAGACCCAGCTGCTGCTCGAGTAGCAATGACTTATAAGTTGTTTTTGGGGTTAAGGTGTCCTGTGGTCCTCCAAGACAGATTTTCTGTTCTGCACACACTGCCTTCCAGACTGGGGGGTGGTCACTGCAGTTCCTCTGGATGGCCGGTCGCTCCAACAATGAGAAGAATAAAGTTCTGACCTGGAATAGTAAAATTTAACTAAATTAATCCTTTAACTTTTCTTTTTTCTTTTTTCTTTTTTTCGTTTTCTTTAACTTGCAGTAATCTTTCAGTTAATATTTACCTGCCATATTTGATTTCTTGGTCGACTGATGTGGTCCAATATGTTTGGAAATTGTACGCTTTATAAATAAATATTACAAAAATTACTCTATATAAAATTTTGAGATAAAAACTAACGAGTGAATGTACAAATTTCATACAAGGCTATCCATCCTATATGAATTGTCAGTGTTAGGAAACGATGGAACCGTGAAAGTTGAGGAAGGCTGATAAGATGAGTAAGGAGGAACTTGAAAATTATTTGTGCGTGGATGAGCACGAAATGCGGACGTAAAGTGACGCTGATTGTTATGAGAATCTGACTCGAAACGTACCCTGGGTGCGATGGTATCTCCAGATAGCCACCCTATTGATTGGCTTCTTTCATTGCCTCTGTTTCCACGACTAAAATTACTATCACTACAAGCCTTGTCGACCTCCTCTCTGTGTTTAAGGGTTCGCTGTAACTGTCTAATATATCTAATACTTTGCCTATCAAGCTGTCCTTCCTCATCTATCCCGTTGAGTAATCCAAGTAATAAATCATGCACCTCAGTATTTGATTTGTCTTTCCCTATCCGCCATCTTTTTATCATACTGGTTTGCACTGCAATGATAGTCTTCTTGAAAGGAAATAGTGCTAAGCATGCTACTACAGATACCCCAAATAATGGGAAAGAAACTGCATGAGAAATTGTTGTCAACTTGGTTATAATATCCCTTCCATGATAAACCTTAACATAATCTTCAGAAACATGCATGTGCATTTTGCAAAAGGCGAATGCTGAAAATGCCGACATGCCGGCAACACCTATCCAACAATAGACAAAAGACTTCCAACCTGAAGACAAAGAGCACCCTTCCCTAACTTTCGATTTTACTTTTCTTCCATACGTACCCTTATCTAGCTGTGCTAAAGTGAGATTTACGAAGTAGAACTGTGCCAGAAAGTTCAGTATTACAGGAACGCATGATGAAACCTGCACGTACGCATTAAGATAGTATTTAAAAATTTTGACAAATTTATGCACTTCCGAGAAGTCTTCTGGGCGATCCATGATATTGGCCACCTGAAACGCATCCGCACTCAACTGGATTTCATAGTGTTGCAATTCCAGGATGACAAAAATGGAGCAGGTTGAGGAGAAGATAATACATTTTCCGGTTCCGTACAAACAAGAATAAAGAAAGGTGTGGCAGACCAACCTGTCACAAAAATTAACATTATTATTAATTCCTAATTTAAATAAATCTCAAATATATTACATTATGCATTGTCCATACCTAAATTTATCCCAGAGAGTGTAGGACCCAGCAATAAGTAGTCCGATAAGCACGACTAGACTTATGCACCACCAGGTGTCAACTCCGGTAAGAAAGAGCAAGTACGACGCCCATCCTTCTATTACAAATAAACTGAAGAGAAACTCTCCAACGCGATATTTAACATCTGGACCCACAAGTCCAGAAGTTTGGGCGACACCAATACCTGCTATAAAATTTATTTTAATTATTAATTACAAATCTTATTGATGGTCGTTTACACGAATACTTACCTGCCAATGCTGCCATTTGTGTACGATTCTCGTTAAATTATCTTCAATTAATTTAAAGTAAATCGGATAAATATCAAAACTTAAATTCAAGTAGATGATCGATTTGGAATGATGGACGTTGATGGCTCAAGTTGAAGTGGACGTTGGCTTCACTCGTCTTCTAACAGAATTTATTTTTATCGTCCAGGCAAACTTTCTAGACAAACAAGCACATCATGATAGTAGAGCGTGTAGCTCATGACTCGAAAACTTGAAAATTCCAGAAACAGAGTGATGAATCATCACTCTGATTCTGGGATTTCGATATTACACGCCCTACACTGACGATGCACTGTAGCTGAAAATATCTCTGTAGTTTTCCAGTGTTGACAAGCAGAGGGACTGGATCATGTGATAACAATTGTTATTTTCGGATATAAGACGTCTGATTATTTTTACTGCATCATTTCATTGCTCAGCGTCAGGAACAGTGCAAACTTAAAAAAGGTACAATGGCTGAAGGTTACCGCAGAGGGGGGTGTTTTCGGTGTGGAAACCCACATCATTCTCAGTGGGAATGCCATGAGCCCTTGGATCAAGCACAGATTTCCAAAAGCAGGAAATTGGAGCATGAAAACTTCTATTTGGATAATCCAGAAGTAAAACAGAGGCTTTCTTCCATTCGACAAGACAAGTATTTTGCAAAGCAAAATGCAAAAACTGACGTTTCATCAGTTTCGGTAACGTAAATACATCAAAATCTATGTGCAATGTATCAATATTGCTTATATAATGTAGTATTATGCGAATAAATAATTGTATTAATTATGCAATAATTATTATATAATTATTATATAATTGTATTAATTATTTCAATTACAGTGGGACTTGATAAGCAATCAAGCAGGGAGTATGCTGGATTTTTTTCTTTCGAGAGAAGAACAATGGTTTCGTATCGATGGAGCTAAGGTTGGGCTTGACGGACAAACCTCAACAGTTGTACTTGCCAATGCTCGCCACGTTTACGAACAAATTCAAAGTCAACTGGAAAATGTACGGCTTCTTACTGCGTGTGCCAAAGCAGTAAGTAAAATAATATTATCAATTTATGGAAACAATTTATGGTGTCAATTATCAAACAATTTATCAATTTAAGGTGTTATAAATTTAATTTTTAGAAAGGAGAAGGACAATACAACAGACTGCAATTGGAAATAATTAGAGGGAACGTCGCTTCTCTCAATGTTGTAAGATCCAGGGTCCATGCACTTGGAACGAGGATCGTGCATCGTTTGGTGAATCTGGATCACTCTATTACTGACTTGAGGGTTCTCTATGCTGATATTTCAGCGTGGTGTGCTGATTTCTGCAACTGGCAAGTAACTGGTTTAATTTGCAAAGAAATTTTTCATAACTTCTTGTGGTTCTTAAAAGGGCTTGTGATCGTCCTCGCGTAGTAAATCTCGTTGACCTTGATGGACAGATTGCGGCAAAGCGTGCAAATTTCGTAAAACTGGAAGACCGGGCCGGATTCATACTCCAGATAATGCCAACTCTACGACAGGAGTTGGGTAAAACAGTAAATGATGCAAAAGGGAAGTTGAATGTAGCGACAACTATGCGACGGAATTTGGAGCATACCCATGTGTGTTATTATTTAAAATATGTCTGATTTGATTGTTGTTTAATTCAGTCTGATTGGTTGCAGCCCTATTGTCGTGTGTGCCGTAACGTTCAAGTGGAAATCGCTTACGCTTGTGGGCACGGTGTTTGTCGTCAATGTTACGAAAACTCCAGAACTTGCATATTAACAAAATCCAGAATTATGTGAATTAAATCGTAGTAATAAAAATATAGTTTTGAACTTGAGAAATACTCATTTAATTTAATTATTTCTCTCAGTTCCATTTTTCCACTAACAACAGTATGATAACAGTATGACAGGTGGATGGGTGGGTGAGAAGAAAATAAGAAGAGAGAAGGTAAAGAGGTTGGGTGGGTGAGAAGAGAGAAGGTGGGTGAAAAGAAAGTAAGAAGAGAGAAGGTGGGTGAGAAGAAAGTAAGAAGAGAGAAGGTGGGTGAGAAGAAAGTAAGAAGAGAGAAGGTGGGTGGATGGGTAGGTGGGAAGTGGAGTTGAATTTTTAGTTAAATCCCCCCTCATACAATATAGACGATTGAGTCAGATTGAACGTTTCCAGAATAGAAATGACTGGTTGGTTGGTGGACTTTGAAAAATCTGAAGGATTACGTAACATAACATATTTGCACAAATAGGTGCAGTGTTGGGC